CAATTAATTTAGAACCAAATGTTTTGGTTAGTTTGAAAAATGCTCCCGTTACATCAGTTGATGTTGAACGAAGTTTTTCCATATATAAATATATGTACTCAGACAGAAGCCACAAGTTTTTGTTAGAAAATTTTGAACACCACTTGGTCATTTATTGTTACCATAATTCTAAATAAGTTTATTCATACTTAAAAATGATGTAGTTACTTAAAATAAATGTAAATCTTAATGAATAGTAGGAAATATTTAGTTATGTACACTTTTTTTTTAATAAAATTGTTACTATTTTACGATTTTTTTTATTTATTTGTATGCATATTTTGTAAAATATTTGCATATTTTCGGGTAAACACGTGCATATTTATGCGCATATTTTCTACATTTTTATTTGCATATTTGTCGAAGTCTATAAATTATAACTTATCTTGGTTTAAATGAGAACTGGGACATGAGCAAAGAAATTAGAATACGTATAAAGAAGGCCAGAGCTGCATTTTTTAAGATGAAGAAAACCTTATGTGGAAACAATATTACTTTGAGACAGAAAATTAGATTAGTAAGATGTTATGTGTCATACATTTCTAAGAAAACTTGAAGCATCTGAAATATGGGTGTACCAGAGAATTCTGTGGATAAACTGGGTAGATAAAGTTCGTAACGAGGTTGTTTTGCAGCGGAAGGGAAAAGTTACGGAAGTGATCAGAACAGTCAAAAATCGCAAACTGGAATATTTTGGCAGCCATTTTATGCGTAAACAAGAGAGATATATTGATATGTGACTGTAATTACGGCCCTTTAACATTTCGAAAATTCTATCTGGCGTTCTATTAATGGTTTATTCGCGATATCTTCCTGGAATTTTGGTTGAAAGTGCTGACTCGACTTTCAGCGTGATAGCCGCACAGAATCTAGAAATTACGATCTAATTATTTAAGGCAGTGATTCAACGTTTGAAGTTTTTTTATATGACTATAGTCAGAATTCAGAAATCTAGGCAGTAAATTCTTGGAAGTAATAGTGATGGAACTTATATATATATATATATATTAGGTATATTCGATTCGATTTATTTTATTTAATTATAATATACAGGGTGGTCCTTAAGTAATTGTACAAAAAGAAACCGCAGATTCTACACTTTAAAATATTACGATTTAAGCCAAGTTGCTTTAATAAAATGTTGATATTAAAAGAGATACAGGGTGTAAAAGTGAAAATTTAAAATTTTATTTTTCGCTATAACTTTCATGCTTGTAAACATTTATCTATAAAAATTTACAGCTGGGTACTATTGAATATCAGGAATTATAATTAAATGCATATTTTGATACAGCTAATAGAGGGCTCCACATATGCCACATACGTGGCATACATTTGCACTTAACTTTTTTGTTCTTCAAGTTACCGGTATTTTCGATAAAAAATATTAAAGATACATTATTTTAACAAAAAAAAAAGGTATACTTGTTAATAACTTCAAAACTCAACAGTTGTTGAGAAAATCGCATTTTACAAATCAACTGCATAATTCTGATTTAACGCAATTACTCCAAGCAATGAAAGAAAAATAGATAAAAACATCAATACTTCCGAATTTTGTTATAAAATACCTTTAATAAAGTCAATAGTTAACGAAATATTAAATAAAATCAATATTTCAGCAGGATAATTAATAATAAGATTTGATAAAATAACAGAATAATTGGATTATACATCAAACATTTTACGTTTTATATTAAATTAAAGTCATAATCAAAACATTTGATTTACAAACCAAATTAAGAGATAGTTAAACTAAATAACATTAAACTGTTTTTCAAAGTAAGTGTTCGATATGTCCACCATTTTCGTTAATTGATTTGTCAATACTTTCCATAAAATATCGTTTCATATTAAATAGCATCATTGGTTCTAAAGAAACTGCTGCAGTATTTATTATAGTTGTCTTATTTATAATAAGTAATTTTTTTAAATTTTTATGAATTAAATAATTATATTATTATCTTACCACAAGACCACGAACAATCCAACGTTCAGGAAAGTTGTATTTAAATACTGTCTCACTCCGCTTTCTCTGTAATGTAATGGTCTACCATCTTGTAGAAAGCACATATTTCGCCTTAAGTTTGATGACAATTCTTCCAATAAATCAATAAAATCATTTTATGTAAAAAATGTAAATAAATCTCACCATTCAAATTAAAAGACAATTCGCATATCCGTAAAATATTATTCAAAATTCATATTTAAAATGCATATCCTGTGGTTTGGAACCATTGGTAACTATTTTTTACGGATATACGAATTACCGTGCAATTTGAATGTCGAGATTTATTTACATTTTTTATAAAATGATTTTATTGATTTATTGGAAAAATTGTCATCAAGCTTAAGGCAAATATGTGCTTTCTACAAGATGGTACACCATTACATTACAGAGAAAGCGGAGTGAGACAGTATTTAAATACAACTTTCCTGAACGTTGGATTGTTCGTGGTAGTAATATTCTTGTAGTGAGATATTAATATAATTATTTAATTCATAAAAATTTCAAAAAATTACTTATTAATATAGTTATAACACTTACAATAAATACTGCAGCAGTTTCTTTAGAATCAATGATGCTATTTAATGAGACGATATTTTATGGAATGTATTCACAAATGAATTGAAGAAAATGGTGGACATATTGAACACTTACTTTGACAAAAGTTTAATGTTATTTAGTATAACTATTTCTTAATTTGGTTTGTAAATAAAATGTTTTGATTATGACTTTAATTTAATACAAAACGTAAAATGTTTAATGTAAAATCCAATTATTCGGTTATTTATCAAATCCTAATACTTTATCCTGCTGATATATTTATTTTATTTAATAATTCGTTAACTATTAACTTTATTAAAGGTATTTTATACCAAAATTCAGAAGCATTGATGTTTTTCAGTAATTTTCTTTCGTTGTGCGGAGTAATTGCGATAAATCAGAATTATGTAGTTGATTTCTAAAATGCGATTATCTCGAAAACTGTTGTGTTTTGAAGATATTAACAAGTATACATTTTTTTGTTAAAATAAAGTATCTTTAATATTTTTTATTAAAAATACCGGTAACTTGAAGAGCAAAAAAGTTAAGTGCAAATGTATGCCACATATGTGGCGCCTATAGCATATAGTGGACATACATTAATTTTTGATATTATAGCAGTTAAATTTTTATACATAAATGGAAATGAAAGTTACAGCGAAAAATAAAATTTTAAATTTCCACTTAACCGTGTATCCTTCTTAATATCAACATTTTATTAAAGCAACTTGACTTAAATCGTAATATTTTAAAGTGTAGAATCTACGGTTTCTTTTTGTACAATTACTTAGGGACCACCCTGTATATGTGTGAGTGTTTATATGTTCACTAAAAATAAAAGTTTACTTCATGTAATCGACAAGTTCAGAATTGGATTTTCCTAATTATGTAAATTAGTATATTTAAAATATAAGTAATTCCAATGAAAAGAAACCTTTCATTGAAATAACAGCAGGGTAAATCTCTCTACCTGCCTTTTTGATAATTAATTTTTGTAACAAACAAAAAATGTCATTAAAAAAAATTATAGTTTGTCATTAAATGTCATAGAAAGTTTCTTTGTCTCGTATGTTTTGTACAAAATTATGGAATTTGAAAGTAAGTGTTTTTTTGTGATAAGAAGTATACACTTTAAAGTTAAATATAAGTCTCATATCATATTATATTAAGATTAATTTTTAAAAGTCACTGCAACAGTGTGAACGATACGCTACTGACTGCTAAGCTAGGAAGTCAATGAGCAATTTATCTTTCTCTATATTATGACAACGTTGATCTACTATTCCTTTCTACCGGTCCTAGAATGCGATGTTGTCATGTATGACTTTTACAAAGAATATTATCGTACTTTAGATGTTTTCTATATATAAGTATTGTATATAAATATATTATTATACATAAATATTGATGTTACTAAATACTTTTTATTATATACCTTAACAAATACAAAACGATCATTAATATGATAATTTTGCTGCATGTCAATGATTAAATTATAAATTGCTAGAATATCTATCATTACAAACTGGCAACGATTTTGTTGCTTTATCGCATTCACAGTTCGGAGAATTTACTGCCTACAAATTTGATTATCAAGTATAGCGTAGTGTGCTACGCTACTGACTAGCGACTAATGTTTATCTTAAGTAAAATAATATACGTTAATGATACATAATTTGTTATTTATTGAGTTAGTAGTTGTTTTTATGAATTTAAGTGTTTAAATAAAATTAGTTAAGCTATGTGTATTTTACTTAATCCTTGAACCCACAGAAAAACGTAATAATATACTTCATTTATTAATACAAGGCAAGATAGATGGAAAAAGTGGGCTAGGTCAAAGCCAAACGTGATGGCTTAAAAAACTGAGGGAATAGTTTAACAGATCTTCTGCATCCCTTTTCCGAGTTGCCGTCAACAAAATTAGTATGGCCAATTTGATAGTCAACGCACCACAATCGAGCAGGGCACAAGAGGAAGAAGAAAACATATAGGAACGTGGAGACAACAACGTAAATGTTATGAATGATCAGCAGAAAGTGCTGACTTGAACCCCATTGAAAATCCATGGTTCTATAATAGTTAAAAGTTATATTAAAGTGACTTTAAACGGACAAACCTCGGTAAAGTATGTAAAGTCATGGAAGAAACTTGAAAAGTGTTTTGACAGCCAAAGGCTCTACAATAAACTATTAATATTACTAATAAAAGTAATATAACATTCTCCTTTATCTTTATAAGACCATTGCTCAAATATATACCTGCAGGAATGTATCTCAGTAACAAGTCCCATAACAAAGAACGTTCACGTATCGGTTACACCGATTGTACATAATACAACAAAGTAGTAATCCTTGAAATAAAATACTATAACTCAGTATTCCATAGAAAATTTATCAAAATTGGTATTTACCTTCATCCATATTCTCTTTGTCTTGTTTAGACTTAGCAGATCTGTCCCTTTTTCCACTCAAGCTAACATTCCTCCAAGTTAATTTTTCTAACTCAAGTTGAAGAAATTCGTTGTAAAAATTACCACACAGATCTTCTTCGTCGTCTTCTACATCAAATACGCCCCCAAATGAATAGGCAGATAAATTGTTTGCTGTGGATATAATTGGCATACCACACCTCGGAGAAAACGAGAATCCTCCAATCTTTATCTGAGACCATTTATACACTGTACCAGCAGCTGTATCGTTTTCTAAAAAAAAAGAACAAACATTTATGTAATTAATCAATATGGCGATTCGTGGCAATGTGACACATAGTACGATTTATTATCACATATTTTCAATCCATAAGTAGGTAAGAAATAATGACGAATGCATTTTAAAAAGTATCCAGAAATTGATCCAATTGTAGAACCTGTTAATCGGAACATTTTAAGGTTAATAGCAGAGATTTACAAGTAGACTCAAGCAGAAGTAATTCTTCTTCTTTAGGTACCGTGTCCGTATACAGACGTTCGCCATCATCATGTTTACAATTTCCTGAAACCGTTCTCTATTGGTTGCTGCGCGAAATAATTATTTTACTGTGGCATCACACCATTGTCTAATATTACGCATCCATGAAAGTTACTTTCGACAAATCCATCTCTTTATTTCCACTTTTTCTTGTATTATAAGGCGAAGTAAATGGTATCTGGGTCCTCTAATTCTATGGCGGAAGTATTCTGCTTTTCTTCTCTTTATGATGTATGTAAGCAAGTGTTTTGGATTCATCATTTAAAGAATACCTTCATTGGAAATACACGAAACCCATGATATTTTGGGATCCGTCGGTAGCACCACAACTCGAATGTTTCTAATTTGTTAAGTATTGTGGTTTTTAGTGGGCATGTTTCACAACCATATAATAAGATAGACAACCATATAGATATGTATCGACAGGTTTCTGTTACATAAAACTGGTTTCCAGGTCATAAAAGCCTTACGTGATATTTCAATGCTGGTTATTATCTCTTCATTAGAGTCACAATTTACATTTAACCAGCTGCAGAAGTATTTAAAATGGTTTACGCATTCTATCTCCACTAAATTGAGCGAAAGAAATCCTTGATCTCTATTAATCTTTCCAACCACCATCCACTTTGTTTTTGAGAGTCTAAGGCTGATCTGCACTCTTAATTAATTTGTTTCTGATCCTAGAGGTGACTCTACTGCGACATGCTGATGTGGTAAAATTTTCAACTTAATTATAGATTTCTACATGATGACTGATTGACTAATATTTACAAATACTAACATAAATTACAGTCTTCTATCGTTACAATTATTGACTGAGTTGTCAAATTTTGTACAGTATTTTATCAAATACCTAAAGAAAGTAAGCGAAGATATACATATTTATGTATAATATTTTACTGCTCTGTTGTGTCAATCAATTTTCGATGTATTCCATTGAAATAGGAATTTAATATATCGTATTCATAGAATAAATTTATTTAAAAAACATGTTCTAATGATTTTTGCTTAATTTTTTGTGACGTATAATGTAGATTTACCACAATATTCAAATACCTTTGCAAGAACATATTATTATTAGAAAAATAAGGTTCTATGCGATATCTATGAAAATCGTGTTACCATCAAATTCATACTTGTAATCATACATTACATTTTTGTTGATAGTTAAAAATTAAATGATCTGTATTAAGATCCATATTATTTAATATCTTAGTGGGAATTACGTTTAGGTAAATAATCAATCTTAAAAAATGATATTTAAAACATTTCTTTAGGTCTGTTTATTACTGGTTTCCAGTTTGATATCTTCATAATTAGTGCCGTCTTCTTCTCTTCTTTGTGGTGTCCAAACCATATCAGTCTTTGTGCATTAATACATTTTACTAGGACTTCCTCTTCGGTTATATTGCTTATTTTATGGTTCATTAGTCTTCTACATTCTCCTTGTGGTGTCTTTATTGGGCCGTGTATTCTGATAATTTTTCTTTTATTAATTCTTAGTTTTTCTCCACTCCTTCCATTTTCGCCATCCACTAAAACCCCCAAATATTTAAAGTAATTGACCCTCTGGAAGTTGTTTTCACCATTAGTTATTATGCGTTAGTTATTATTAGTGTTATTATTTCTGTTGGTCAGTCTCTTGTACTTAAAGTAGTAAATATTTTGTTATATTCTGATTGATTATTAGTTCTCTGTTCTTTGTTTCTCTTTTCAACGTTAGGACTGTTTCTTCTGTTTTTGTTTATAACGCGCTATCAATGCTAGATTGTCCGCGTATCCTATGATTTTTGTTAAACTTTAAATAATTGTCATTTTTTCAGCTCCGGTACTCTGATTAATCCTTCTAGTATGATATTAAATAAGGCCGTTGGCAGACTATCTCCTTGTCTCACGGCACGTTCTATATTGATGTCGTTTGTATCTACTTCGGTTGTTTTAACTTTATCTGAAAAGTCCTTCATTGTCATCCTAGTCAGTCTTATTATCTTTGCTGGTATTTTCATCCTTTTAATATCTGTTGTCTCCATACGCTGTCGAATGCCTGTTGGAAGTTGATGAACAATATGTTATGTTCGTAGCTTTTTTCGATAGTTTGCGTTAGTACGTGTATCCACAAATGATTAAATGTTCTTTTTCACTGCTACATTTTTCAATAAATTCACACATTGATTTGGTGAGAGGAAAAGAAATGCTTGGTTTATAGATGACAAGAAGGTGTATAACAACTTTATTAGGAAAGATAATTTTAATCATAAGAGATTCAATACCTTCCAGATTATGGCCTACAGTACTTATCTTAGATTCTTTAATAAAGACATTATGAAAGTAAACACATACTACCAGTTTCCTAAAATTTGCATTATTCTAAGCCTAGTTTCCATAGAACTCGTCTTGAAGCAATTATCATTTTTTCACCAAATTAGCAATATTCTTGTTTACAATCTTGTTTACAGCACTCTTGAAAACGAATTGAGAATTTAAACCTATGGCAACTTCTTTGTAAATTACCAAGGATCCAGTTTTTTACATGGCATTTATGACTCTCTAAGGATTTCACTTCGGCTAGAAAGAGGCTGATATCGACAATTCTTCTTCCATGAAGATTTTTTAGTTTATTATCGTACGCACCCGGTACTCACACTACTTCAATTTTCAACTCTTCTGTACTGAAATATAATGTTGGTGTTGTCTGACCACTGAATGATGGAACGGGTTCTCTGAAAATGTGTAAAATATAAAACTAAAATAATCTAAAAAAAAATGCAAACCACTGTCCCAATATTAAATTATTGTAACATCACGTCAATGGATTTCAAATGACACCAAGAATACATTACATAAACATTAGCATAAAAGTGGACCTAATTTGTTTACATAATTTTTTTAAATCTACTTTTTAAAATTTTTTGGATAATTCTAAACACAAAATCTAGCAAAGTTGACGGTTCCCTTGTCATAAACAATTAAAAAAAAACGGAATATGACAATTTTCACGGCTCAAAAACACAAGTAAGAATTATTGTTTTATAATAAAGGATATAGCGTACTTCGACAAATTATTGTCGCATCTTGTATATAAAATATATACATATATGCACTTTTAGATATAGGTTTTTTATAGATATATTACTTGTAGATTATCGATTTTATGACATTGTACTTTCAAAAGAAAAGTTACAGTATCTACTATTTCAGCATGACTAGTTCACAGCAGAGAACTACGAACGCAGAGAAGCGACACTCCTTTGATCTTGCGTGGGCAAGCCGCCAACGAGTGAAAATGACAGGAAAGCACCTTATTTTTTAATAGTCAGTGGGCATATTACACAATATAAATTCTTAAATAAAATTGAGCATTTATGTTGACTTTCAATAAATATGAAATATTGCACTGAAAAAATAATTACATGCAGGGCCGGTTTTTGTTGACATTCTAAATGGTGTAATTATTTTTGATTTACAAAAGGTTGCAAATACATCGCACAACGCAAAGTAATGGTGAAAATCGTATTGATGGAACCATAGATGAAAATACTTTTTTGTTTATTCTGATGTTGGCATTGATAATACAATAGGGTCTAGGACAATTCGCCGTCGCCAATTCGCCGTCGCCGATTCACCGTCGCCCATTCACCGTAGGGACAATTCACCATTAGCCGATTCGCCGTCGCCGATTCGCCGTCAGAATTTTAATTTTTAGAATGTTTATTATTAACACTTGGTTATAAATAGAAGATTTTAGGCAATCAAATATTTTATAGTAAGTACCAATTAATGTAAGTACCAATTAATTTCTAATAAAAATAAAACACCAACTCAATAAACATCAATAAATAGGTACTTACCATAAAATAATGTATTGCCTAAAATCTTATTTTTATAACCAAATGTTATTAATAAACATGCTCAAAATTAAATTTCTGACGGCGAATCGGCGACGGCGAATCGGCGACGGCGAATCGGCTGCCGGTGAATTGTCCCTAAGGTGAATGGGCGACGGTGAATCGGCGACGGCAAATTGGCGACGGCGAATTGTCCCATTCCCAATACAATAATACACCGATTCTTTTTGGCTTGTGTTGATACAAGATATAATTTGTTCGTCGTGGAATTTCCTAATAAATTATTTTTCGTAATATAATCGAAAAATAACAAAGCCATTGTAACTGCCACGGAAATTTCACAAACTCTAAAAATTCCAATTCTCTTTGGGTGAGACTGAGAAACAAGAAACTTTATATTGATATCGATTGTTAATGTCTTGGAAACCAATTAAAATTACATTTTTCCTTTAAGTCGAATATTGGAGTAAACGAATTCGACTAAAACGAATAAAAAATCAAGAAGTAACTATTGTACGAGTATATTTCTATAAATATAAAAATGTAATAACCTAAAAAATAATCAAAAAAGTATTACGAATCATTACAAGAGAGCATTAGGAAGATAAAACGAATTTATATTATTGTCATTACACATGATTCGGATATACATAGTAAATCCAGACTTTCAGTTTAAACTAATATTTCGATACAATTTATTTTGTTTCCAATAGATTCAGAGTTAATACATACGATTTTTAGTTGATTGGTAATGCCTTTAAAATTATTTGTAGTATCAGTTTGCCTAAGCGGATTGTAACAATTACTTCTGGTTTTGTTGTTAACTGCGGTTAGTACAATTCTTATACTTGAAGTCAAAACGTAGTTTTTTCATAATTTAATGTAAGTTTGTTTGGTGAAAAAGACAGCAAATATTTGAAGTTATGTTAATGTAAGTTTGTTTATTTGCAATCATGTTTTTATTTTGAAATCTTGTTCTGTTGTAATTTTAATATTTCCCAATTGTGTTTATCGTATTATATTGAAATTTGGAAGGTACTGCGTCATGCACCAATGTTTTTCTTTTATTTTTTTTTTTGACAATAAGATTATCTTCAAAATGTAGTTCACAAATCCTATAACTATTATAAAGTATATCCATTTTTAACAATAAATCTTCTCGTCTGCAAGCTTCTATCCACATTTTGGCACTACAAATTTTTAACAGAACAAATTTTAAACAAAGAATTTTTTGTATTTATAAATAATACTTCATTACTTACAACTATAAGAGTATTAGTATATTCTAAGTGTATTGTAAGTAATGAAGTATTTAACTTTTGTCAATATCTCATCTTAATAAATTTACAGTTTTCTCCTAATTAAGTCTCAAAATTGTCACTAAATATTGAGATATACAATAAATAAAGTTTTAATATTTTTTATTTGTAATTCCCATTTAAATATTTATTCCCTAAATATGTTGTGTACTCCGATCCATATATTTGATCTTTGTTATTTATATTTAACGAATTAAACATTGACAGACAACTTTTGTATATAGCAAAAAGTAGATGAGCATTTAGTTTTTTCATAATTTAATGTAAGTTTGTTTGGTGAAAAAGACAGCAAATATTTGAAGTTATGTTAATGTAAGTTTGTTTATTTGCAATCATGTTTTTATTTTGAAGTCTTGTTCTGTTGTAATTTTAAGATTTTCCCAATTTTCGATCTAATTATGTTTCCAACAATTTTTAGTTTGAGCATTTTAGGAATTTCTTTGTTTCGTTTAAATCAAATATTCTCGTGTATAAAACCCTCTATATATTTTTATTTCCTAAAAATACTATATTCGTATTGTTGTCTGCGAGCGCTTTCACACCAGTAGGCCAACATCTGTGTTGATTTTTTGACCTGAGCCTTCGGAGACAATAAATTTAATGTGTGTTCGTAGTTCTCTGGTTTTTATTCTGAACTATCCCTTGGCAAACCAAAATTTATTTTTTTATTGCTTCACTTAACGAGAGCTCGGGCGGACACGTCGGTGTCGGCTTACTCAAAGTCAAATTAATACTATTATGTAATAACTAATAATAATTACAAAGCAATAGTAATTACCTGTTATTATTCTTAGGAAATCTAAATAAACTTATTCCTTTTCCTGTCACAGATGAACATCCGCGAAACGCACAACAATAACCAGAAGACATTTTAAATACTTATAAATTAAACTTTTAACTATAAACTATAACTATAAACTTATATATTTAACTTATATATTTTAACTATAACTATAAACTATAACTATAAACTTTTAACTACTAAGTAAATTAGATAAATGGTCAAATGCACTTGTATAGTCGAGAGTTTACCACAGATGCCTATGGACTATCGTAAGCGACTAAAGTTGAAGAAAACGCACGTGTTTTTGACAGTAAAGCACCTTATTTGGGTCATGCGTATACAGAAAAGATACACGAATTCCGGGCCTCGTGTCGCTTCTCTGTGTTCGTAGTTCTCTGGTTCACAGTTCAAACCGCTAACGTCATACTAACATTCTGTTAGTATGGCGTTTCGAAGCCGAAAGTAATGCTATCTGTCGATGATAAAAAATATTACCGATGTTTGAGATGGAGCCACCTCTCTACAACACAATTTGATGGCGGCAGTTAGTCAAGATATAGTTCTTGTTTAACGAGATTTTTCATATGTTTAGAAAAAAAATATTGAACGTTTTATTACAAATATTTTCTACTTTTACAGTTTTATATATGTTGTTATTAAAATTTTGTCCGGTTCCTGACCGGTAGCTTTATTATAAGCCGGAACATATTATTTTTTCCTATTGTGGCAAAACTGTACATTCAAAAATTTTCAAAAAATTCATAAGTATTTCTTATGATTATATATTTATGCTGTAAGAAAATTAACAAAATTTATGTTTGGTTTTACCACTTATATTAAAAAAGTAGTTTTTTCGAAAATGAAAACATGAAGTTTGTTCAAAATTTGTCAAAATACTTCTACCGATCACATATGCCTTCTCAAATCTTTTCAAATTTTTTGAATATGTAGTTTTTCTTTTGGGGTGCACATCAATCTTAATACTACTAAAAATAACGGAAATCAAATTAAATTCACCTACTTTTTGGTGTCAATAAGAACGCATCACTGTATACATGTCCTTTTTCTAAATCTTTCTTTAACTTTTCTTTACTGTAACCACCATATATAAGTATTTTTCCGTCGTTGAGTCCAATCATACAGCAACCCGATCTAGGTTGTGGGGAAGTGCCTAAAGGTTCGATTTTGGTCCATTTGTACGTTTCGGTATCAAAACTGTATATATCGTTAAAGTATTTACAATCCCTTAAATTGTCATGAAAACCTCCAAAAACAAATAGTTGCTTCTTTATTAATACCATTCTGTGGCCGCTTCTCGCAGATGGTCCATTCGGAGCAGTAATTTTTTCCCACTGTTTAGTAGCTAAAACGAATTATTCCAAATTATTGTAACAGAAAAATCAATATCATGTAACAACGACTAAAAATATAAAATAATATATTATACAGTATTTAGATATTATTTTAGATGGGCTTAAACCACAATTGATTGTAATGAAATTTAAAATTTATATATTTTTTTGATGTTTGAATTTCCTATCCGGAAATCGTCTTCAAAAATTCTAAAAAAAAATTATGAATAATCATTCATAATAATTTTTCATAAACATATAATACTTAGACCGCCTGCTGCAATCTAAGCGCGTTCCCCCAGTATGTAACATGGAAGTTATATTTAAATTGCTACCTCACTGCTATATTTCTATAATATTTGGAGATTGTTTGGTAGTGGGAAGATCATGTGGTCAATAAACCCCGCCCCTTAGAAAGAGATGCAGCTCGTATCTTTTTTTTCTGTCGCCTTGGGGGAACGGGTTTAAATTGGGTGCTCAGTCTAGGTATTATATGTCTATGTAATTTTTACCTCAGATATTTTTGAAAACGATGTCCGTAATGGACATAAGTTAAGGCTATTTTAGCAGTTCAAGCACACTGCGATTTGAAATGGACGTATCACTTACTTTTCAACACTGCTTACGGCAAACCATCTTTACTAAGTGGCGCCGGCCGACGGGTAGTTTAATGACAACAAATGCATTATTCTCCATTCAAATTAGTTTTAACACGAACTAACTGATCGTACGTTCATGAGATTTGACGTCACAAAAGTGATAACGGTGAAACTAAACGCCAATGATGAGTATAGAACATCCCAGAGGTACTTTTCAGTGCGTCACAGTTTTTCGATTTCTTTCTAATGCAAGTTGGATGTGACGGAGAAAGCGGTAGTTCGGTGATTAAACAGAACTATATTGCAGCGTTAGATTAAGCTTTCATACATAAGAGGTTCTTTCCTAATTACTGACAGTTGACATAAAATTTCGTTAATGCTGGCCATTCTTTCGAAGTGTTCCAACAACAAGTGATGGCTGTCGTTCAGGTCAGTATTTGCAAAGAATATAGACGCTATATAATATATTTATATTCTTTGGTATTTGTTTTATTTAATTTTATTTTGTATTACATAGTATTGTGATTGTGGTTTTATTTGTATTTGTACAAGATGACAAGATATACGGAAAAAGAACAAGTTCTAATATTAAAATTGCTTAAATATTTTCAATTGGAAAAGAAAGTTGGACAAACACATTATTACCAATTTCTGCTGTTCGTGAAGTAAGTTGAAAATTACCCTGAAAATAAAATTGTTTTATTTACTGTTTATTTCAGCGTAATGGGGACATTAGGTATTTGTATGGTATTTTTTAACACACCATTTATTACACATAGTTTTTCACCATATTGTCACCTTTGTATTTACTTTACTATTGTCATACCATTTCTCACATAAAATTTCATTAGTTTTGTCAAATCTATAATCATATGCATTTTTCTTCATTGGCTTACTCTTCATTAGCTTTCTCCATTACTGGACATTTTACAGTTCCTGTTGCCTTTACATTTTTTCGTTTCACTTATATCATTAGTTTGATATGTCATGAAATGTTTATCGAAAAAATTTTATTGGTTGATGGTTCAGGCAACTGTTTCAAAATATCAATTACTATTTTAGCTTCAAGTGGTCTATTTTAATAGTACCATTTGTTTTTTTTTCGGCAACAAACGTGAAAACCATAATCATATCCAGTGGAACCAGTTATCATCCAATTCTTAAATTCACATCTGACTGGCTTCTCTCTAATTAACTGTTTAAGTTATGACCAAAATATTTGACCATGGAGTTGTCCTAAGGAAAGATCTTTATGGAAACATCACCACTGGCAGTATTTTTCTATAATTTTATCTGCTAAAAGTCTAATTTTGTACATACAAACGTACAAAATAGAATTTTATTTTATTTATGTAATTAATTTATAAGTTACCTAATAAATTTTTGAAAACAGTCTTTTTTGTGTTACTTATACTATGGCCAAAAAGCAGTAGTGAGAATAGAAGATATAACATCAGAAGAAATAGAAGTACAAAGAGTTGTTCGACAAGGGTGTATACATAAACCAGTATTATTTAATATGTATACTCGGAAGACATATTAAGTAAGGCAATGGATTAACGAAACGTTAATCGATTGCTGACGACATTAGAATTAATGACATGATCATAAATAACCTGAGATACGCTGATGATACAGTTCTTTTAGCCGAATCACATGAAGACCTACAGATACTTCTTAATTAGGTGACCGCAGTGCGCAAAGAAGAATATGGACCATCACTCAACAGAGCAAGAAATATATGATAATAACAAAGACAACTCACGACATTCGTGAGATATATGTACAGAATCAGCCTATTGAAATAGTAAGAGAATTCAAATTCCTAGATACAACTATTAATGAAAACAATAACAGCTCTCAAGAAATACGAATCAGAATCAAACAGGCTAGAAGCGCATTTACAAGAATACAAAGGCTTCTCTCTACCAATTAAGAGGAGAAAATTGGGATATATGGGTCATGTGATGAGAGGAGATAAATATCTAACACTCCAGATCATTAAGCAAGGAAAAATTAGGAGAAAAAGATTAATAGGAAGGAGACGTAACTCATGTAATAACGACTTATTTAGAGCCGCTGTCTTAAAATTAAAAATCGCTGTGATGATTGCCAACTTTCGACGCGCACACAGCCCCTTGAGAAGAAGATACAAAAATTCAATAAATGAATCGTTTTGTCGTCAATTTCAAATTTTTCCATATTTATAAATTGAATAAACAATATTGTTTACTTTTTATTTTTATTAATATATCCCCTGTGGCTAAGTACGATCCTGGCATCTGTCAGAGTCTTCAATAATTATATGAAATAATTCTCGACATACCTAATTCATTCTATGACGTCATAATTAATGACGCACTGAAAAGTACCTCTAGGATGTACTTTAACACATTTCACTATTAGATTTTAGTATTTTTTAGCAATCTTCTTCAAAGTTGGATCACGCTTTTCTCGATTATTACTGGACACAGAAAGGTGAAACAAAAATCAACGATTTCGGAAAAAAAAACTCTTTCAAGTGATGGGCGTTTGGTTATAATAGAACGTTAAACAGTTAAAAGTTTTAAAAAAAGTTTAAAACGTTAAAAGTTTAAAAAAAAATAAAAAAAGTAAAACCATCATTTTAAAGGCAACATAATTTCGAAACATTTTGTCGGTAAATAACAGAGAAAAGGTTTTGGTGCACCGATAAAACAGTCTTAAACATGCCACAAGAAAACAGTTTCAAAACCTATTATTACTTCAGTTAATCAAGGTTTTCACCTGAGGTTTCTTTGAAGACGTTGAAGAAAACAGATCAGATTTAATAGTAAAGGCCAAGACATTTTATAATCTTCTTCTTCTTCTGGCATTATAACCCTGGATGGGTCTTTGCCTGTCTGGCTATGTCCTTCCATTCAGATCTCTCTTGTGCCCTTCTTCTCCATTGTCTTATGTTCATTGTTTTGAGGTCGTCTTCCACGTCATCCAACCATCTCGTTCTGGGCCTTCCTTTTTTTCGCCTTCCTATGGGCTTTCATTGTAACATTTTCTTTGTTGTTTTTGCATTGTTTTGTCTCTGCACATGTCCCAGCCATGACAGTCTTTGACTTTTCACAAATCTTACAATGTCATAACCTTCATTTAACTCATTAACCTAGTCGTTTCTCCTGATTCTCCATGTGCCATCTTCCTCTTGTACCGGGCCATATACTTTCCTCATTTCCTCAAGACATTTTATAATAGCGCCTCTAAAACAGAACAAATGCTAGAAGCCGGTTTGAAATGTTCAATAGTGCTATATGCATATACAACACAACATTAAATAAAATGCACAAAATAAAAGAATATGAGTCCTTCATTAAGGCAACCATAAAAAACAACGCTGTGGTGAAATTATCAGCCCTCGTTCCTACAGTGGATGCTCTCAACGAGCATATTAAACGATGCTACTAACAAGTTTTTGTTTCCACTAACAAGTGTAAATAAAAACATTAGGTCAACTCATCGGTGATAAGCTACCGCAGAGGGATCTTTGCAACCTATCACAGAACACCAAAACAGTCCTGCACCCAAAGAACTTTTGAAAATGAAATTTTGGTGAAGTTGGGCGGTAGTGTAACATCAAAGAGGAAGAAAACTAAAACACCAATATTGATGATGACATGATTTTTAATAAAATTTTACAGTGTGTTCCCGAAAATAGTGCGTTCCTTAAAGGTATAGGTAGAAGGTACCATGTAGAACAAAAGTCTTATGCAAAAAGAAATATGTCAACTACATGCAGTACGAAAATCTAAATGTAGACATTCACAACGTTAGTAAACAGATAGATTATGACTTAAACGATTTTTTCATTTATTTTTTGTAATAAAGGATGATTGATCAGGATTGAAAGAAAATCGAAAATAAATATTTGAATTAAACGTGATAAAAAGATGAATTTAAATTGTATAAGTAAGCCAATTTTGAAATGACATAACCAATAACAAAAACTTTGGTTATACATTTTTCAGAATTTGTATAATAATCTCTTTTGAAAATGATTTCCACAGTGGAAATTGAAACGTCCAATATTTGTAAATTTTTTACTCAAAAATGTGATTTTCATTACAACCAATAATTGTGGTTAATCCCATATAAATATAATATTTAAAATAAGTTCAATTAAAATAAAATAAATTAAAAAAAAAAATACTTTTCTACAATTTTTCACTGCATGTATATTGTACATATTTTTAAATCAGGAAAAAATAGATGATTGTAAGAACGACCCAACAAGAATGTGGAAAACATTAAAGGAGCTTGTAAAAGGCAAAAAAACCATGAAGCTAAAAGTGAAATAATATTTGATGGGGGGGGGGGGGGTTACTGGTAAAGAGATAAGTGAAAGATTTAATATATTTTTTTCTAGACAGTGTAAAAGACATAGCAGATAGCATTATTTCAAACAAAACCCACCAAGAAATTTGTAGTTCAATAAATGTCGACTGCAAAATGGAAAAATTCAAAATGTTAGAAATGTATTACAGTTCAAATTTTAAAGAGTTCCTTTGAAGTAATAGGCGACAAAATTTTGCATATTATAAATGGTAGTCTAGAAAGTGGCGTATTCCCAAGTAAATGGAAGAGAAGTCTGGTTGTACCAATTGAGAAGGTTCATGGAACTCTTAAGTGTGAGGAATTTCGACCTAGAAATATGGTACCACCATACGAAAAAACTGCTGGAATTATGTGTAAATGATCAAATAATGGAGTACTTGGAAAGCAATAATGTGTTAACTAAATTCCAAGCAGGGTTTAGGAGAGGAAATTCCTGTGAGAGTGCAATGCAGACGGTTTTGTTTGACTGGAAGGGTGCGCTGGAGTGCGGGAAAATGATTGGTGTGGTTTTCTTAGACTTTAAACGTGCATTTGAAACCATAAACAGACAACTGTTATTGAGAAAGATGGAAAGGTATGGCTTTGGTAAAAAAATATATAAAGTGGTTTTAAGAATATTTGACTGATAGAACACAAGTGACAAAATATGGTGCCATTTCATCGGCTCAGAAGTCTCTGTATGGTGTGCCACGGGGAACTGTGTTAGGTCCTACTCTTTTCATACTGTATATAAATGATATTGTTGATGTTGTTAAAAAGTGTAAGGTACAGTTGTTTGCCGATGATACTGTGGTATATGCAATAGGGGATAAGGTAGATGAAATAATCGATATAATAAATGAAGAGATATGTAATATATTAAAATGGCTCGATAATAATTCCTTAAGTCTTAATGTAACTAAAACAAAAATGATGCTTATAAAGAATAAAAATTTTAAATTAAATAACATAATAAAAGATGTAAAAATTAATAATATTGCTTTGGAGAGAGTGGTTCAGTATAAGTATTTGGGATGTATTATAGATGAAAATTTAAGTTTTGTTGAACATTTTAAGTTTGTTACAAACAAAATAGCAAAAAAATCTATGCATTGGAAAGAATGTCAAAAAATTTAAGTTGCTGGTCTAGGTTGACCATATATAAATCGATTATTGCTCCCCGTCTCTATTTTTGCTCTACATTGCTGTTTTTAATGAATGCTTCTCAAATGAACGTACTGCAGAAAAAAACAAAATAAAGCCTTAAGGATAATATTAGGATGTAGTGTATACACTAGTAGAACTGACATGCTAACAATGGCAAATGTTTTAAGTGTAAGACAGACAATTGTATGTAATAGTATGATTTTTGTTTATAAAATGTTAAATGGTCTGATACCTGTGCATTTGTGTAATAATTGTACCTTTGTTCGAGATATACATGAACACAACACACGTTCTAGAAATAACTTTTATCTGAATAGGGTCAACACTAATTTTGGTCAGAACAATCTTTTTTATAGGGGATTAAAGCAATACAATGAATTGCCGGAAAACATTAAGGCTTCTGGAAACTTAGCTCAATTTAAAAATTTATGTAAGATATATGTTAAGCAAAGCATTGTGATTTAATTTTAAGGGTATAAATTGATGTATCTATATGAATATTTTTCTAGCCATGTGCTATTAATAAAGATTATTATTATTATTATTACATTTTTAAAACTAATCACAACTTATGCTAGTCACTGATGTTTATAATTTCTGTATTCTGAGATATACGATCTTTATGCTCAACAGCTAAATGTGAATTGTACGATAATAAAAAGAATAAGACAGTCAAGATTTGATTTCACGTACAGTACGTCTATGTATCTGCTTATACGTATTTCGCCCTAATAGGGCTCGTCAGAACATCTATTCACAGTCGTTCTGAACGTGAAAATAAATCATTTCTGTCTTAGGAAGCAACTCTAACATGGCTTCGTATAGACGTAAATAGCGACATCTGGTATTAAAATCCGTAAACTAATTTTCGAAACCAAATTCAGATTTTTGCTTTAATCTGTGCCTTCTAAGAATTGCAAGGCAAAACAGACGTTGATAAAGATGTTATTAGAGACATGGGGAATCTAAAATTTGCATTCCACGACATATCTCCTCAACTAAGCAAAAATCCTTAGCGAATTGGTTTCTTGTACTCGTACAGAGTATATCGGAATAAAAAGAAAAAGACAGTCAAGATTTGATTTTACGTATAGTGCGTCTGTGTATCGGCTTATACGTATTTCGCCCTAATAGGGCTCATCAGAACAGCTATTCACAGTCGTTCTGAACGTGAAAATAAATCTTTTCTGTCTTAGGACGCAACTCTAACATGGCTTCGTATAGACGTAAATAGCGACATCTGATATTAAAATCCGTAAACTAATTTTCGAAACCAAATTTAGATTTTTGCTTTAATCTGTGCCTTCTAAGAATTGCAAGGCAAAACAGACGTAGATAAAGATGCTATTGGATGTATGATAATAATTACTGATAAAAGTAAACTTACATTACCTAAATGGAAGTTTAAACTGATAAAAGTAAACTTACATTACCTAAATGGAAGACCCAAAGATCTCTGTAGTGATAAAATTGTGATTGTGTGGGTGTAGTAAACTCTCCTCCAAACACCCATAATTGACCTTTATTTGCTGAAGAAACTACCATTTGATGTCCACATCTAGGAGGAGGACCATTAGGAGCCTTAACTACCGTCCATTTGTTATTGGGTATATTGTAGAAAAATAAGTCACCATACACGAAAGTCTACAAAATTACACTAATAAATATTTACATTGAAATGAAAAAAAAAATCATTTTAATTTCAAAATGTTTTTGACAAACCTTCAACTAAAGAAATTTTTAAAATTGTTAACAGCTATTCCTAATAGTTTTGTTTGCGGAGACAGTCCCTGACTAGTTTTGGATAAATTTCGGACCGATTTGGGATTAACGTTGTGCGCTGGCGCGATTAGTTACTAGTTTTTAACAGCTATTTCTCCGCGAACGATTTCCGGACGTTTCTGACTGTTTCTAACCCCAAAACATCAACACGCTGTTTTGTTTATATGTACAAGGAGGAACACAGACGTTTGACAAAAATTTATTTTAAAGACGATATTGCTATATTGTCAAAATGTGTAAGTAAAAAATAGGGTACTAGCACAGAGTACTAAACAATTGTAATAATAAGCAATAATAAATAATAATAAATTGTTGTTTATTCTGCGGTGCTAGTGTCGTAACGGTGGCTTCCCACGATCGGCGATTCTACAGATCATCGCGGACAGCCGATCAGCACGGACGAGAACGCACCGCAGACAGCGCTCTCCCTACGGTCCGTGACAGTCTGTGTAGGTCCGTGACAGTATTGTTTGATTATATCATAAAAAGGCCACTCAGGCTTGTAAACATTAAATTCGGCATTAAATTATTTCTCTTCTTTTTTAATTCTTTAATCGAAATAATACTATTCTTTAATTGATTTTTTATTCGGTTCCATACATCGTATATATCGATTCCGTTTCTTATGGTCTGGTGCCGTAGAATTCCATAAATTTGTTTCATTTTGATACAAATTTAAAAAATCAAAAATTACTTCGTTTGTCCATTCCATTGTTTAGCAAAAAACTGCAAAACAACTTTGACAACACTACAGACAACTACTCGTGTCAGCGAATGAAAAACTTCTGACTTTCACTTGTCGTCCGTTAAAACACAGACGCGCTAGGATCGCGTCGCACGAGCATGTACCGCACCTTTGATGTTACCGACTCTAGATGGATAGGACGGACCAGCCCAGACGTGCCTGCGCTACCACGGACGAGACCCTTACCACGGTGCGTGGTGCGTGCTGGTTCGCTTACGTCCGTAATATCGCCGACCGTGGGAAGCCGCTATAAGACGGAACAATGTCTACGGAGATGAAATTGATATCAATGACCCTGAACGTCCAGAATTTCCTCTAAATCCTCATCGCTGGATGTAAAATGATCGCTTATCTATAAATAACATTCATTTTTTAATACTTATAAATATATGTACTGTTTTTAGTTCCATATTTATAATCCAATAAAACATTAAATGGCTTTTTTTATAGTTTTTAATTTATATCGCTAAAAAGATTTAGAGAATTTTAGTTATATTTATTTAAAGATGTCGAAACGTAAAGATTATATTGCCGCTTCTCAACAAAACTAAATAATGGGTTAGTTAGTATTAACAATGGACCAAAAAAAAACAAACACAAAACCTGTCAATTTACAGTTTCTATAGCGCTTGCGCTAACTAAAAATCCGCACTCGAATCCATGAACCAAATGGACTGATCATGAACCAGTTTGAAACTCTCCGCGAACATCGAACTCTTTGTCAAAGTCCCGGATTTTTAACACCGCGAACGCCTGAAAACAGAACTGCGCATGCGAAACAGTCAGAAACCAGTCAGGGACTGTCTCCGCGAACAAAACTAATATTTAGTACTACACATGTTAAGGAATAAAACCAGCAAAGATTCATACTATATTTTCGGTATTTTTAAAATTGAATAAAGTAATTTTACTATTTATTTATTATTTTAATTACACGTGCCATTTAAATAAGCACGTGGTGAATCTATAGATGATTCAAATAAACAGATGATTCAAATGATAAAAAAATATTAAGGCACAAAACCTCTTTTAGTTAATATCCTTCTTATAAATTTTAATAAAACGGACGGTTGTATAACGGACTCGCCTATTCGCGTAAATGTTCCGGACTCTTCAACTCTTTACAGCGCCCTAACAAGGCACTATTTCCATGACGCTTGACTCAGGATTATACTATAGAGAAAAAGTAATATGTCAATACAGGAGCTTAGCTCCAAAAAACGGAATGTGGCACTCCGGGATTAACCGAGGAAGGGGACACATTGCATTCTTATCGACTACGCACAAAGCGATGGTTTTTAATTTAATTCAATTCGATTTATATTAACATAATTTATTTTAATTTTAGTTTATTTTATTTTGTTAAGAAAGAAGCATGGGACTGCATCCACTACTTCATGTAATGTATGGTCGCGCGAACGTAACATTTTATCGTTTTAGTCGGTTTTATTATTTTGATACTTGTGAGCGATCCACCGCTCCGTCCGTAGCCCGCGACAAAAAAAGTGGTATGCTTTCAAAAAAATGGATAAACTTTTATCCTGTCATTTTCTATCTCTGAGGTCTTGTCTTTCCATGGCCTCGTCCCATTCATCCACCTTGTATGTTCTGCTCTTGTGTGTCCATACCAAATTGAAAATGTTGGTCTGGTATCATTTAATATCAAAATTCTTTAAATATTCTCTGCTAATCTAGCAGTTACTTCTTCTTCTTAGAGTGCCGTTTCCCTACGGAGGTTGGCATTCATAATGGCTATTTTTATTCACGTGGCCTAGGTATTCCAGTTTTCTGGTTTCCTTGGTGGTGATTAATTCCGTTTCTATATCAACCCTCTCCAGTACTTCTTTATTTGTAATTCTATCAGTCGATGACATTTTTAATACTCTGCGGTATAACCAAAGTTTGAAAGCCTTGATTCTTTATATAATAATAATGAAAATATATAACAGCGAATGGTACATAGTCTGATCTCCAAATTTAGATTTATGTACGTTAGGAGTGGCTTCATTAGTATTATATGCTGTTCTGGCAATCTCTATTCGCCTGTTTATTTCTGCAATATGATCATTGATTTCATTGATCAAAGTTTCCAAGTACTGATAATTTGCTACTTGTTCTATCACGTTACCATTGATTGTAAATAGGTGATGTATATTTTGATTTGTGTTCTTTTTGTAATTAGCATATTCTTTGTTTTTTTTTTTTAGCGTTTATAGTAAATCCCATCTCAGCACTATTCATACTTAAGCTTTCAATAAGATGTTGTA